CGTCTTTTACGATTTTGGGTAATATTCCGCCGTTCCGTGATTTCGGGTTATTTTCCAACGTTCCATCTTTTAGGATTTGGGGCGATTTTCTGCCGTTCCCCCGTTCCGCGTCATTCTGTCTTGTAAGATTTCGGGTGATTTTCCACCGTTCCGTCATTCCTTCTTTTAGGACGGTGTGATTTTCCGCCGTTCCATCTTTTAGGATTTTGGGTGATTTTCCACCTTTCCGTCATTACGTCTATGCGGGTGATTTTTCGCCGTTCCATCATTCCACCCTTCCATACGCGCTCTTCTTTTTTGCACCCAGCCCAGGCCCCTGTTTGCACCAGACTCGAATATTGTTCGCTCGAATATTGTTTGGAATCGGTGGAAAAGTACTATGAAGGCAAGATCCATGAGACTGAGCCTGCACCAAGGAACGGCAATGTAAAAATACTGTCTACTTTTATTCATCAGGGGAAATTTCTGAAATTTTCGAATCGGTAGCACGTAGTTTGTGGACGATGAACAAGCACGCGATTGCAAATGTTTGGTTATATTTGTGCTTCCAGCTTAGAATAATGTAAGTAATAAATACGTATTTTTACAAATTACCTTTTACGCTTAAACGTTACCAGTTACTGCGAAAATATTTAGCACGAAATATAACTGTAAATATTCTTGTGAATCTACGGAAACTGGCGCCGTCACACAACGTATCAACAAATCGTAGTTTATACAGGGAACCTCATCATTGGCATAGACTTTGACACTATAATATATCTGTCTGTAAAACCTCGGTTGTTGATGAAAAAATGTTGATTTCAGCAATAGACAGAGGTTGAAATCCAGTTAGTGAAATCATGTAAGGTATATACAGTCGAACCTCCGGTTGCGACCACCTCTCCTCAGCGACCAGTTTTCCAATATACCAAAATTTTCCGAGTCAAATCACTATATTTGGAACCTCTTGTAAGCGACCACCTCTCGTAAGCGATAGCGACCACTTTTAGAGCTAAAAGTTTGAATTTTCCCTTTGTTTTTAACCTCCCGTAAGCGACCGCTTGACAGATAATGGAGCGACAAATGGTTAATAAGGTGTTGTAACATTGTCACATTCTTCGGTAGTACAAGAGACAGAAATTTCTCAGTGGGAAGAACCGGATTTTTTTCTCGAAATTGACTTTTACATGAATAAAAGGGGTTAAGTCTCGGCAGTTACCATATTCTAATGAGGAAAAATTTGGACCCATTATGGTCTAAGCTCTCGTAAGTGACCACCTCCCATAAGCGACCACCTAGGTTTGACATTTTGGGTTGTCGCTTACGGGAGGTTCCACTGTATATTAAAATGACGGCGTTGAACGCACTCATAATAGTTTATAACTATACTGTACTCTAGGGGCCTAGCGTGCGGCAACAAGTATAAGCTTTCTATTGTTTTTTAGTACCAATTATTGTCTTGTAATTAGTGTACTTGTATTATTTTCTATAGTGTTTGTAAGCCAAAGCTGTAAGTAAGTAGCGTACTGTAAGTTTGTTGTACGTCTGGTGTAGATTGTTATGCGTAGATACGTGATCTGTAGACTGCTTTTGACTGTTTTGTAACTGTAGTGATTGTTGCAATTGTTTGAGCAATAAAATAATAATAAAAATATAATTCCCTTAAATATACCGAGGTTTTGCGCACGTAACACGTAATCTGCGTTATTTCAACCGGGAACGCCTCTCGGCTTATCACGTGATTAAAACTTATGAGTGGCAGCTGCCATTAACCAGGCAGGAACATAAACAAACTCAGGCACCATCCACGCCACGGAAGGGTACATCACCTGAAAGTAAAACTTGACTTGGCGAATGGATAATGGCTGAACTCCTAAAAGGAATAAAAGAATTTCCATCGTTACATGTCATTCCAATGATATTTCACATATGGGTGGATGGGGTTTTGAAAATCGAAATTAAATTTCAAGTTATCATCAATACCCAGCCGAGGCATATTTAATACGAACTTCACTGGCCTTTTCCTAACCTTGTCTCGTGACATGTTAATAGTTTAAAAAATATCTCGTTGTGGTCGAAGAACGAATAGAATCCAGAAACCTGAAGAGCATAGGGAAATTTTTGATTATGCGAATTTTGAAACCAGTGATGTTTAATTATCAGATTGTATCCATGGTGATTGGAAACATTGGCAAAACTTGTCATCCTGCGCTCTTTTTTCGAACAAATCTTCAATTTTTGACACTATCAAACTACCATAAAAATTTTCATTCAGACATCAAGTCTAAGAATTGATAGCCATTTGTAATATCCATCAGCCGCTCCACGTCTGCTTTTTTTTTGTTATTGGCAGTCAAAAAGTAGGGTAAGGAACAGAGCTCCCTAAATGGTGGTATATCAGCATATCTGGGCTAATGACTAAGCATGAGGTCAAGATGGCTGGATATTGGCTCAGTTCTGTTTTTGGCGTGTTTATGGACCGGCACACAGTCGAGGTCCATGAAGACCCCAACAAAATAAACTTTACCAATATCCAGCCATCTCGACCGAACAACCATCAAGTCAATAACGGATTTATTATATGGAAAGAACACTTATTTTCTAATGGGACAAAGCAACTTATCCAGAGCGGGTAAGATAACCCAATCTTGCCGGCTCGGGTAACCAATCACAGCTCAGGGTTTACTTCTTTTTGCCAACTCACGGAGTTAGCCATACTGTTTTTGGGTCATGCGTTTTTTGAATTGTCCACACCCCACCAAAATAAGAATCATGGCTCAATCAAATTCGTCTTAATTGACACTTAGGGCGCGTTTCTTTAAGAAAATCCAAGATTGGATTCTTAAATCCGAAAGAATCCGAAAACGGATTTTGCGTTTCTTAACTAAACAGATCAATCCAAGATCTCTTGGATCGTAGATTTAAGAATCCAATCTTCGATTTTCTTAAAGAAACGCACCCTTAATTATACCAACACACCTCCGACATCTTTGAAGCCATATTCTCTGGCCAACTCAGCCACTATCAAAATACGACCGCTCTTCTTCATGATGTTGGGATCTAATGGATAAAAAGAAACTATAATCACTGCCGGCGTTTTTAACGAGAGTCAATTTTTGTGGCTCCATCAAAACAAGACCTTTTCTTTTCATGTGTCAGAATAAAGACATCCGATCAACACAACGGCAGGCTGCTCTCCAGTTAATATGTAATAGCCTTAGTCTGTCTGTCTGTCTATCTGTTTGTTTATCTGTCCATGTGTCTATGTCTGTCTGTCTCTCAGTCAGTGAGTCACTGAGTCAGTGCATCAGTGTGTCAGTGAGTCAGTGAGCCAGTCAGTGAGCCAGTCAGTGTGTCAGTGAGTCAGTGAGTCAGTCAGTGAGTCAGTGAGTCAGTGAGTCAGTCAGTGAGTCAGTGAGTCAGTGAGTCAGTGAGTCAGTGAGTCAGTGAGTCAGTGAGTCAGTGCGTCAGTGAGTCAGTCAGTGAGTCAGTGAGTCAGTGCGTCAGTGCGTCAGTGAGTCAGTGAGTCAGTCAGTGAGTCAGTGAGTCAGTAGTAATCATAGTTTATTGCGCCTTACTCTCCAAAGGGAGGTATTGGTCTAAATACAACTACGGTTTAAACATTAACTAACAAAAATACAAAATATAAACATTTACCATATCCATACACAATTAATTAGAAAAAATCATAACGCTTATTACATTTGTGAACCAAGAATCTCTTTCCTTTTTTGAAACATTGAATGGATATATTTTTCTATAATTTTGGATGTAACAGTGTTTTCTGCTCTAAGTAAATACTTTGTCTTCTCGTTATCACTCAAACTACAGTAATGGGTGTCAGCGTTTGAAATATGTGAGTGCAGTCAAGCAGTGAATGAGTGAGTGAGTGAGTGAGTCAGTGAGTGAGTCAGTGAGTGAGTCAGTCAGTCAGTCAGTCAGCCAGTCAATCAGTCAGTCAGTCAGCCAGTCAGTCAGTGAGTCAGTGAGTCAGTGAGTCAGTGAGTCAGTGAGTCAGTGAGTCAGTGAGTCAGTGA